CCTGCCTTCGTCAATCAACCTCCTCCTCCTGCTGCAACACCTTCTTCATCATCGAGCCAGTTCTGGGGTTTGAAACACCAAACTTTGTCCGTCTCTCTCAAAAGGTTCCCTTTTTAGTTCTTAGTATCAGCGTTAGGGAAAGATAGGCTAGATTGATTTTACTTATTTGATTATTTCTGCTACTGAATTAAGCTTTTTAACTGACCCTTGCAAAATTGCTTTACTAATAAAATATTTAGCATAAAGAAAATCTAAAAGATGTTGTGGACATTCAATTAATGAGTCACCTCAAAGTTCTTTGATGGTAGTAAAATAGCTATGATGTTTGATTCTGGGGAAGAGAAGGAGGTAATGTTTTATAGGTTGCTTTAGCCCAAATCTAAAACTACATCCTTGGGACTCGCCCAATTCACTAAAACCAACCTGATTCAGTAACAAGTGCAAGTTGTAAAAAAAGAGAAGGAGCGGCTGTTAACAGATGTGCTCTGTGAAACTAGTTGGCGATAGGCTGCTCAGTCTGGCTAATTCACTGGCTAAGAAGGGTGGGACATCTGGATGTAGGTTGTAGAAATCAGGCGAATCCTGTCTCGAAACCAGCTTGAACAGAGTTTACTTCAGTTCTGGATAGGGTAAATCCCAGCAGATTTAGGAAACTCAATTTACCCGTTAGATGGAGAGCTGGTAGCACATCTCCCCTCTCAGAAGAGGAAGTAGTGACTGAGAGAGTAGAGAGTGAAGGAAGGGGGGAGGGGTTTCGCGTTGCAGCGAAACCCCTCCCCTTGCTTGGGAAGTTGGTCCCCCATTACCACTGCTCTGAGTTTTTGTCTTGCTTTTTCCTTGAAGTTCTCCAAGCTGCAACTGAGCCAGTTTCCTTTGAATGTTTTTATCCTGGTCAGTGAGTCTTTGTTCATCTTTCCTGCATTTTTCTATTGCACGCACCACATGATCAAGAAATTCTTTGTGCGACACTGACATCAGAGCCACCACCTCTTTGAGTTTAGTGTGCACTGGCTGTGGCATCATGTCCACTATCAATTTCCTAAACACAGCTGCAATCATTGGAAATTTGTCAACATCAAACTCCATTTCCTCATTCCACCTTCTCAGCTGTCTGGCGACATAGGCTGCTGGATTCTCAGAGTAACCGATTGGTTCCCCTTTCAAGGTCTTGGGGTCCACGTTGTTTGGAAATTCTGCACTCAAGGCTGCCCAGATTGCAGTTCTGCATGCATTAAATTCAATCCCATCTGCTCATTCCTGAAGCATCCAGGGATGGTCCTTCAAAACGTTCTGCATGGTGGCAGTTCCGAGAACTTTTGCAAAAATGGCTTCTATGTCTCCCAGTGCCATGATTCTGCCAACTGTCTCTTCTTCAAATACTCTTATCTATTTTCCTGCTCCGTTATGAATGTCCAGTAGCTGCGAGACTAAGCCGACCAGATCCGTCGAGGCAAATGGCAAGTAGTTGTTTTGAGTGGTCGTAACAATCAGGTTTGTGTATGTCTGGATCTCAAATTGCATTCTCTTTGTTTTGGGGCCTGGTGTTGCTTTTTAACTGGAGTGCTTGTGCATGCACCTTCTCCGTCTTGATCATTTTCATATCCTGGCTCCTGTTCAGCGAATCGTGTAAGGCTTTCGTCAATTTCCATTTCAACTTCCTGTATTAGTATTTGATTTGTTTCAAGGTAGAGGTGGAGTGCGAGGGAGAAAGAGAGCTTGAGTGAGAGGGGGAGAGAGAGAGAAAGGTGGAGTGAGAGGGAGAGAGGGAGCACAGGAGAGACGGTAGGAAAGGTTGGAGGGAAGGTGCGTTTACGTGTTCTGGGCAATCCGTCAAAAAACTCTTTTCTTTCTCCTAACAAATTACCTCAATGGTTTTTGTGGGCTTGATAACAAATTTATATGTATATTTTGCTTCTTTAAATACACAGCAAAAAGTTATAGTTACGAACGGCAAAGAAGCAGTTGCAGACAAAAATAAAGACCAAAATTCAACTCTTAAGCAGAGCACAGCAATTTACAGTTTCAGTGGAACTTTGAAAGCAGTAAGTCATTTAGTAAGCCAGAACATGCACTTATCGTATTTGTTCCTCCTCCTCCTCCCTGGGGATTCTAGTTGATATCACTATATTGACTAATGTACTTATTTATAAAGGTATAAGAAATAGAATGTTTAGTTGGCTACTGATTTAATTAGCCACTGTCCAATTTTTTAAATGTGTGCACACAGTTGATTATATTAAGACGTCAGTTATTTCAGCCAAAGCAACAGGACACTCTACCTCCCCTTTCAGAGATCTCAGACTCAGAAATTAAAAACAAAATGCTGCAGCTCACTCACAAAATCATCCTTAAAAACTTAATTTCCAAACTTTGAGACTTCTTTATTCGCATTTACTAATTTTTTCAAACAACATCACAGAGAATTCTTGTTTTTTCTCAGTATTTGTCTCATAAAATTGTTACAGGCCCCTATCATCACTTACTGGAGGACCTTGTCCCCTGTCAGCAGAGAGACAGGATGGAGCCGTGCTCCCCCCCTCCCCCCCCAGGTGGAATTATACGATCCAATTGACCTTTGACTTTTTCCTTAGCAGTTTTACATCAATAATATAGAGATCCCAATCTCTGCGCTACTTCTTATTTCAACAACATTAGAGATCGCAATCTCTGCTTTTCCTAATACAACTATCTCAGGCCACACAGAGAAATCTGTTATTTCTCTCACTGGAGAGAATGAGTATAGAGAATTCTGTGTCTTTTTTCCGGAGAAAATTCGGAATCACCTCCTGGCCTATCCTTTAAAGCAGGGGTGCTCAAGTCCAGTCCTTGAGAGCTACCGTCCTGCAACTTTTAGTTGCAGCCTTACTCCAATAGACCAGGCTCAGCTATGAACAGGCCTGGTAACGAGTCATTCATTTGATTCAGGTGTGTTGGAGCAGGGATGCATCTGATAGTTGCAGGATGATAGCTCTCGAGGACTGGACTTGAGCACCCCAGCTTTAAAGAGATCTCAATCTCTCTTTGTGAATTCAGCTGGTTTAATGTTAATGTCAATAAGCTACCTGAAATTATTATTTTTGGTCTGAAAGAGGAGCGATCTAGAGTCAATGCACAGCTTCAGTTATTACAACTAAAATCTAAAGATCAGGTCTGAAACCTGGGAATAGTGATGGACTCTGACCTGAACCTTCAGAGCCACATAAAGACAGTCACAAAGTCAGCCTTCTATCACCTGAAGAACATCTCCAGGTTTTGAGGATTAATGTATCAGTGAGATCCAGAGAAACTCATCTGTTTATCTTTAGTTGCATTGATTACAGCAACAGTGTCTTCATAGGTCTGTCCAACAAATGAAACAGTTGCAGCTGATGCAGAATGCTGCTGCTCGTGTTTTCACTAAAACCAATTATATGGAGCACATAACACCAGTTTTAAAGTCCGTACACTAGCTCCTTGTAGCTCAGAGAATAGACTTTAAAATACTGTTGTTAGTTTAAAAATCACTGAATGGCTTAGCACCACAATATATTCAAGATGTATTGTCTTATCAACCTTCCAGACCTCTCAGGTCTCCTGGTTCTGCTCTGTATCCCCAGAACCTAACGAGGAGAAACAGCTTTCAGCTTTGACACACCACAAATCTGGAACAAACTTCCAGAAAACTGTAAAACAGCTGAAACACTGACTTCCTTTAAATTTCGACTAAAAACCCACCTGTTCAGAGTTGTATTTGAAACGTAATCAATTAAGAATTTTGTGATGGCACTTGACTTAATGTCATGTTTTGATTGTTGATTCTACATTGCATGACTTTGTGTTTTTGTGTTTGTTATGATGTAAAGCACTTTGAAATGCCTTGCTGCTGAAATGTGCTGTACAAATAAAATTTGATTGATTGATATTACTAAATCTACAAATCTAATGTAGATCGTAGGTGAGATTGTCTGCAGCAGATTTAGCTGGTGCAAAGTCTCAAGATTCTTGGTTTTGGGTTGAGATTTTGTTTTTGGGTGTTTCTGTTTTCTCTTGTTATTCCTTATTTCAGGCTCCCTCATAGCGTCTCTTGTTTTCTTATCTTGTTACTTTAGGTTTAGTTATTCTTTTGTGTTTGAATCTATGTCCATCTTTCTTTAGTGATTCCAGTTCGGTTATGTCTTTGTTTAGTCCTTCGAGCTGCTCTAGCTCGGTGTAACTTAGTTCTTATTATTTTTAGATCAGTCTTGTTTCTCTTTTGGTTCTTTCATAGTTTCCCCTCATGTCTTTGTCTCTTTCTAGTTTGTCATGTTTTTTTTAATTATTTTTATTAGTGTTAGAATTATTTCCAACTCTCTTATCTTACTTCCATCACTCTTTTGTTTCCCCTGTATATCTATGCAGTTTTTCTGTGCTTCCTTCTCCCTGCCCCTCAGTCTGGCTCCTGCTCACCACTCTCACCTTCGATCAATTAGCCCATCAGCCCAGGTTTTATCAAGCTCTGCATTTGGGTCCACACTCCAACAACCAATACCATGACACATCTAAACTGATGATACATTTTACAATTCACACATTCCATCTGTGTGAATGTCTCAATTCAATACATTGACTGTGCTAAGAGTTTAAAATTATTTCCCACAATAACTGTTGAATTATTAGCACAGTTATTGTGTTGAATTCAACATAAAATGTGTTGTCTGTATTGCGTTGGGAGACTGTAGTGAAAGTTGCAGATGGACTGAAGGAGAGCCAGTATGGCCCTAAACTCCCGCTCTGCTCAGGGCCTTGTATAACCGGGATACTTCTCTGGACAGATCCTTTATTTTTCAGCAGAGGATTTGACAGGAAGCTCTTAGTGATCCAGACTCATGTGACATCTCCAATTGTGTTTCCGACTATCAATCTGTCCAATTTTTATTCACCTGGAAGTGAACTCCTCCTCCCTCACTCATACATGAGGCTGTCCACGTCTCTCTCTCCTTCTCCCTCTCTTTCGTCATCTCTCTCTCTCTCTCAGTCTCCTCCCTCTCTCCCCCCGTCTCACACACTCTGTGCTGAAGAGCACCAGGAGCTGTGAGCGGAGGAAGCGGGAATAACGTGGCTCCTCGCGAGCAGCCGAGCCGTTATGAGCGAGTCAGCAGCGCCTCTCAGCTCTGCCACCGGCTAGCACCGGGAGGAGAGGAGGAGGCGGGGGGAGGAAACCGCAATAAAGGGGTTTCTAAATAAATGTCTCTCGCTGTCCATCTACATCATGCTGTACTTCCAGCTGGTGATAATGGCCGGGACCATCATGCTGGCCTACTACTTCGAGTACACGGACACCTTCACCGTGCACGTGCAGGGTTTCTTCTGCTACGACACGTCGTACACCAAGCCGTATCTGGGGCCGGAGGACAACAGCGCTGTCCCACCCATCCTGCTGTACGCTGTGGTGGCCGGGCTGCCCACGCTGCTGGTGAGTCCACCTCGCTGCTGTCTCATTCATTACAATAAATGAGGAATGTCAGTCAGCATGACTGAACGGCTGGTTTCTCCCCTGAATGGGTAAAAATGGCAGCCAGACCACTGCTCATCTTCTCACGGTGGGGCTTCCTGGAAGCAGCAGAGTTTACTGGCTTTGTAAAATCTGCCTGAAAATGTGTAAGGAAAGCGATAAGCTTTAGCTTCTGGAAAAAGGAATAAGGACCTTTTTATATTACATGTAAACAATATGACATTCCTCCTGAAAGTTAGTCAGAAATCAAGTTGCAAATCTGTGTTTAAAGACAGAATTCTTTATTATGCTGTAACAAAAGGTTGTTTTTATCCAGATGAATTAAACAACACCAAAACTCTTATGGAAGGAACCATAAATTATCAAGAGTATCTCAAACAAATCATTCAACAAGCGGTCTTTGAAGAAACCACAATCTTTTCAGAATAAATGTAAGCTGAGACTTGTTGAGTCCAAAGACAATGCTGGCGCTACAGAGCATTTATATTTGAATAAAAATGCCTTTTTTGACTTTATTATCATCATTAAATTCTGAAATATAAGATCTAATTCAGTTCTAACGTTTGATGTAAACTGTAGGTGTGAACTATGCTTGGAGTATTTTTCCGTTTTCCTGTACCAGAAATGTCTTAATTGAGAACAAAGTGGAACCAAAGTGTTGCAGAAACTTGACAAATTACAACAATTCTGAATATTCATTCATAAACAGTTTAGTGGCAAATGTGAAATCAAATAGAAGAGGTGAGTCATCCTGCAGAATAAGGAATTCCCTTTGTTGTCTGAGAATCTGGATAACACTCACTGTGGCAGCATCTCGTGAAAGAGTATCAGCCAGACTGAAGTCAGTTTGCTGCCCTGAGAAAACAAGATCAAGAGCTGGATAAGAACTAATCCAGCTAAAGGATCAGCTGTTGTTGCTCATCCACTATTGAGCCCTATTCAATTCATTCATTCATAAAAATACTATAAGATTAACACACACATCAGAAACTGTCTGACAAGCTACCATGTTACACCAGTGTCACCATCTGTGTGAATGTCTTTATATGCCCTGCTATAAATAGCAGGTAGTTTTACCTGCAAATGTCTCCTGGATAATCAGACCTCTGCCATCTATCAACAGCTGCTGCAAAGCCCGGTGACAGCACAGTTTAGTAACATGAAGTCCCATAAAACCCTGTTTAGAACATTGGTAGGATAAAATAGTGAAATATATTAAGGTCATTGAGATATCAACATTTCACAGCTTTACAAGACAAACAGAAATATAGGAATACAAAATAAATATACTTTATTGTCTGATAGTGGAGAAATTCAGGTGTACCAGCAGGAAGTGGAATGATGTAGATTGACTGAGGTAAACATCCAAAAACAGAAAAGCTAGAAAAGAGACTGTATCATTAGGCCAAGTTTACAATATTAAACTTATGTTTAAACTGATTCCTAGACAACTTAATGTGCCGAGGTTGCACATTATCCGACTTATGTGCAACTTAGCAGGATAATTTGATAAATGTAGAAAATATGCACAAATATTTGTGCACTGAAAAATAACAATATTTACAAGAGAATTAAAACTGCAATAACAAAGTTATAAAGACATTTTAAGTTTAATGTGGGCAGAGGTAAGAGGAAGGACCTGTGCATCAATACAGAACATTTTGCCATGTTAAATCACATCAAATTTAACACAGACAGAGTCAAATTTAACACTGTCTGTTTGGTCCTCATCAGAATCAGTGTGTTAAGTGGACTAGTTTTGTACTGTTACAATTTCAGAATTAAAATTAACTGAACATTTAGTAAAACTTTAACACTAGCTAACAGTGTTAATAAAACAATCAAATCGCAGAGAGTAAATATGTTCCTAATAGTTAAAAAGTTACTCTATTGTAACAAATCAACTCTGATTCTTATGGTTTTAAACACTGCATATGGAAGGTTAACACTGGACACTCAACTCCAATGAGAGTTCATACTGAGTTGATTATAGATAACATATTTATCTATGCAGTGGTAGAATTTGACTGAGCAATTTGACTTGCTCAGTCAAATTCTACCACTGCATAGATAAATATGTTCTCTATATACACTTTTGTATTGTCAAATTGCATCTATCAATTATGATACATTTAAAATAAGACATAAGACAAGATTTTTTTTGTCATATCCCTAGAACATAACAAAAGAAATGCCCTCAGTGATAAATAAAATCTCAGTCAGTTCTTATGATGCAGCTAATGGGTGTTAGTGTGTCTGCATGGGGGGGAGCAGGGTTGGAAGGTGGACAGATGGATTTCACAGCTCTTGAGAAAGGAAAACCTGTTCCTTATCTGTGTGGTTTTAGCTTTTTATGTGCTTTTACCGTTTCCCATTTAGCAAAGAATCCTTGGATTTTTCTCCAAATACAAAGTTATTTGGAAAATACATCAGTATTAGTTTTTAGGGGTTACTTGATGTCACAATTTATTTATTTATTTACCTGCAAGAGTCTTCTACAGAAAAGGAAGGATGGGTGGGCATGCTTCTGCCATATTGGACTTAACAAAAAATTATTTCAATTGCAGTGGATGGTCAGTAATTGATAGTGTATAGTATGATGCATAGTGTCCAGTGGGTTGTGTGAATCTATAACATAAAATTCTGTAAGAAACCCAAGAAAATGGCTTTTAGATAGCTGTCCACTTCAGTGACCTCTATGCATAACATGGTTAAATTAAGTCCAGGTTTGGTAACTGACTCCCACGATCCACTGGGCAGTTTTCATCACAGTGGCCATGTCTTTTTTGTCCTGGACTGTGCAGATGCCGTACAACACAGTCAGACTGAGGCAGAGAATGATGTCGATAATGGCTCTACATTAGTTCTTGAGCAGCTGAGGAGAGACTCCAAACCCCATGCCTTTTCAGTTTCCTGAGGAAGAAGAGTCTGTGTTGCGTCTTCCTCATTAGAAATAAGGTGCTGAGTCTCCTCCCTAAAGGGGGTCTCATCATTGCTTATTAACAGACCCACTGCAGTAGTATCATCTGCGAACTTTAGAACCATTTTATAGGAGTGGATGGCTACACAGCTATGGATGAACAGTGCATAAAGAACCTGAAAAAGTACACAGCCATGTGGTGGGCCTGTATTCAGAACTAGGGTGGATGATGTTCAGTCCTCTATTCTCACAACTTGAGAAGGACCCTGATCCAAAGATACATTGATTATGAAAGTCCCAGGTCTTGGAGCTTCACCATCAACTTATCTGGAACAATGGTAATAAATACTGAACTGAAGATAAATGTACAATTGAGTTAAATCAAATTATCACAGGAATATATTTGACTTCACTTTATTGAACAAAAGCATCTTTTAAAGATCCATTGTCAATTTTTAGTAATGCTACAGTAACACTATAAATGGTATGCTTGCCATTATATTTCAGGGCTTCAAGTTAATTGTAAAAAACTTTCAGCGTAAATGGTTTCAGGTGTGCCTGCTGTGCCAAGCAGCTGATCTCAAAAACACATGAACATCAATAGTTCATAAACTCCACAGCACAATAATCCTGTGCATAAAATGGAAGAACATATAAGGTGTTCTATACTGCATTTGAACCTGCTTTTATGTTGGACATCAAATGGATAATTTATGTGCAACTCTTTTAGAATCTTGTCTGGCTGAAGCTTGACTTTGAGGGTGTGATAATGGTTTTCAAAACATGTTCTATCAATTTTCCACAGAGAATCATACTGCAATCTTTTGCTGCAATCATTTCAATCTTTCAAAATACAGGCATCTCACATTCTGCTTCGGTACATAAAACACAATTTCAAAATTTTAAGCAATCTTTTCACCCTGTTTTAGGTGTAACCATCTTCTTTGTTTCTTGATATTTTTAATTGTTTCTTGAAAAAAATATGTTTGGGGCAATGGGGATTATGCTACAGGGATAAAGCATCATGTAGTGATGCTTTGGCTAGAAATTTATTTCAGGAAATAATTGCATGAGTTGTTAATGATGATTAATGATTAGTTGTTTGAAATACATTGACATGTGTCGTGACAAGACAGGTGGAAATAGCATGATATTTAGAAGCAAAAGTAGGAAATTTTAGTGTTTATTGTCTCAATCAGTCCAGCAAAAAGAAGCATCTTGCATAACAAGCACCAAGACTGAATGGCTGTCATCCCCAAATCATTACCCCAAATAGTTGACGTGGATGGACGTTTTACTGCTGATTGATCCCGTAGTATGCAGATATTCTACTAGCAACTTGTTTAGCACATAGAAAGTTACCTTGAATGTTTTTCAGAATGAGCTTCACATCAAATTGTCCAATCCCTCTAGAATATCATGTATTATATCTATAGAGAAGATTTTGCCTTTGTTGAAATACTGATGTAAATTAAACTGATTAACATGTTGGGGCAGATGATTTGGAGGTTGCACTGTCTTTCAATTACCTCAGCAACTATTGTGGATAAAGCACTCTTCTTCTACAGACAAATAAAAACGGTGCATGTGAAAACATTTTGTAGGTCTCATTTAAGTTTGTGGTATCCATTGTTGAAATCAGGTTAAGCACATGGCAGACACAGCTATGATGCTTTGGTTGCTGATATTCTGAACAATAATCTTCTTTATCCATGAGAGATTCAATTTCAATAGCCTCTACCTCCACTCCCAGAAGGTCATCTTTTTCATTGTCATTCACTTTCACTACTTTGTGCCTTAATATTGTTTTCATTAGTGCCATAAATCCTAAAGGCCTTTATAAAATTGGATCCACCGTCATTGGTGGTTCTCACAATTTTTCCCGGATGTTGAACTCTGTATATATATTGTTGAGGACACCAGCCTATGCATTAAATGTGTGGGGACCTCTGCCTGCAAGCAAGAGCTACCAAAACATCTCTCAAGATGTCCAAGGTCTTTCTGTCGAGCAGTCACTCTAGAGAGTGGAAAGCTCTGCCAG